GCATTGCCATCACATCCGTGCAAAGCGACAAACAGAGCTGTCCAGGGGAAAAAACGCCTGAGAATAAGAAGCACACTGCTGAACGTGGGTCCAAGTGGGGACAAGAGCTTCCCTAAACCCTGTGAACCCTAAACCCTAAAACCGTGAACCCTACAACCCTGAACCCTAAAACCCTAAACTCTAAAACCCTAAACCCATCGGTGCAGAGAAGAGGACACCACACTCTCGAAAGCCTGGCAGGGTCACCAGCAGAGGCACACTTAAGCCGACATCGATGCACGAGATCACACGGGTAGTTCTCTAAATTAGGGTCTTTTTTTGGGGTCCTTTCTATAATGGTGCCGGGCTTTTTAGGGGCCTAACGAGGCACCCTGATGTAGGGTACTACCCACCTGAGTTTCCAATCTTTACACCCTGGGCTGCGCATCTTTTGAGAACCCTATAGCAAAACCCCAAAAAATGGAGACCGGATTAAGGACAATTGGTGCTGGGATTCCCTATACATTACTCTTAAGGATGGAGGCTGTTGGGTTTCCAACTTTTGGGCTTCTACTACAAATAGACCCGGCTCCAAACCCTAAGTCCTAAACCCTAAACCCTAAGCCGTCTTCGCATCTTTTGACTTTTTGGAGAGACAGGAGTTGCATGCAGTCGTCGCTGAGCAGCTCCTCGGCATCAGCGAAGCAAGATGAGAGTCTGCTAGCAGAAACTACCCATAGGCCCCTAAGTAGTTCCTTTTTGGGATTACCTTATAGGATTCTACATATGAACCATAAAAAGGAACTACTTAGGGGCCTACGGGTATACCTTAACCTGCCAAAACCTACTTTTTTTGTAGCGTCCCTATACATTCCCTACTAGGGTTTATAATAAGAACCAACAAACAACGTAGGGTTTTGGTAGTGTAATAAGGTAGAATACTTGGCGATCTTATTCGTTCAAAGGTTCCTTGATATATCTATAGTCGATAGTAACACGTACCTTAATATACCCTTTAACACCCATTCTACTTGTTAAGGCCCCTTTCTTATACCCTGTGGAACCCAGCGCTCGCAAACCCTCAGCCTTACCCTAAACTCCTAAACCCTAAACCCTAAACCCCGAACCCCCCATACCCGGGACCCTGAACCTTACCCAATCCCCTGGGTGGATCTAGGAAGTACTTTAGAGTAACCCCCTTAAAGGATCCAGCTTTTGGATCCTCCCAGGGGTCCGAGTAACCCCTAAACCCTACATCCCAAACGTAGGAGGGTTCGTGCGCAGGAAGCCGACGCCGCGAAGGAATTAGGGTTTAGGGTTTAGGGGTTAGGGTTTAGGGTTTAGGGGTTAGGGGTTTAGGGCTTAGGGTTTAGGATGCAACCAGAAAAGTCGAAAGCTCAACCGCCGAATATCGGGGCCTTGCCAACCAGACTAAAGTTTTGGGGTCTGGGGATAAGGGTCTATAGGGAGGTTTTGGGATTCTACGACAAACAAGGAACCATGAGGAATATTGTCATACTCTGAACCCTAGACCCTTAACCTGAACCCTTAACCCTAAACCCTGAACCCTAAACCCTGAACCCTAAACCCTAAACCCCTAAACCCTAAACCGGATCCACCATTTACCCCTTCCAATGCATGCAGCCCCATGAGGCCCGCCCTCAAGCAGTTTCTGTCAGACTCGTGGAAACATTTCCGATCAGAGAGAGCTACAAGTTCAGGGTTAAGGCTAAACTCTAAACCCTAAACCCTAAACAGACACCACTAAGCCGACAAAACCCCCTAAGCAGACCCTGAACCCCAAACCCCTAAGCAGACCATGTCGGAAAGGGTCTAAACAATCCGCAAAAGTGAGACCGGCCAGCAGGGTCACATTAGGGATTACCTGGACCCTAAATTTTGGTACTTTTTTTAAGGACTTCTATAAGGAAATCGTAGTAAGGCGCGTTAAAAAGGTAGGTTCTTTGGGGTCCAGCTAGTGCTTAGGGGTTTGGGGTTTCGGCTGCAGTCAGGTAACCGACCACAGCAACGGCGACAGCTGCACGGACAAATGGAGCCTTGGCCACAGAGAATTCGGCAGAAGCCGCATGATGAAACTATGCCAGAAACCCAGCAGGTCCCAACACCCGAAAGCCGAAACCCAAACTTACCCCTTCAAAAAAAAAACCCGAAACCCCGAAAGCCTGAACCCTCAAACCCTAGACTAAGCCCTAAACCCTAACCACCCCCCGAATTTTAAACCCTAAACACCAAACCCGAAACCCTAAACCCCAAACGCTAAACCCCCGCCAACCAGGATGAAAGCAGAGGGTCGCCAAGGCCAGCAGATGTCGCGCAGCAAGCTGCGGGAAAGTCTGGGCCGAGGGCACATGAGCTTACCCATAGGCCCCTAAGTCTAAGTAGTTCCGGTTTATGGTTAGGTTTAGGGTTTAGGGTTTAGGGTTTAGGGTTTAGGGTTTAGGGTTTAGGGTTTAGGGTTTAGGTGATCCCAAAAGGAACTACTTATAGGGGCCTATGGGTAGTAATCTAGGCTTTAGTTCAACAAGGGTTTCGGGTCTGGGGTTTAGGGTTGAGGGCTGAGACCAACACACATGGCTGGCAGTAAGGAATGGCAGGTTAAACTCAAGCTCGCAACAAAAGGACCCCTAAACCATAAACCAATGTGATATGCCGGGCTTAGATGATTCGCTACATGACCGCTTATCCACTAAACCCTAAATACTAAACCCCGAACCTCTAACCCCAAACCCTAAAACCTAATTCCCTAAACCCCGAAACCCGAAATCCTTAAACTTTACCCTCAAACTCCTTGGCGCAAAAGCCCTCTAGAGTTTCTCTGGGTGTCTAGATGGTTTCAGCGTCAGCTGTTAGGGCTTAGGGTGTAGGGCTCAGGGTTTAGAGTCTAGGGTTTAGGGTTTAGAGTTTAGGGTTTAGGGGAACAAAAAATTGACCTTTGGGGTTATATTGGGGTTTTACTCCTCCCGAAATGGTTGAAGGCTACTGGCTCTAATACTAAGGAGGGCAAAAGGCAATGCCCGGAGTTTGTCTTGCCTGTCCGCATGATACTGTAACCAGACTTGTTCTTTCCCGGAAGACTAAATGAACCCTAAAAGGGTTTAAGGTTCGTATACCATATAGGAGTTCATACGCTTGATGATATAAATCCTGCATTACCCCCCAAACAGGAACATACCAAAATTCCCATAGTTTAAGGTCCCGAAGGTAATGCAGGATTTATATTATCAACAGTACCATAAAAAGATATAGACCCCCTACTTTAAGGGACATTTGGTCCTCAAGCCTCTTTGCTCCGTTCAGACTTCATGTCTGCCTTCGACCTATGAAGCCTCAGGAATCAGGATGTCAGTAGTTCTCTAAAATTAGGGTCCCTTTTGGGGTCCTGTTCTTTGGGGGGGTGCCGTACTATATTGGGGACTTAAAGAAGGATCCTCAGTTAGAGAACTGCCCATGTGGGCACCAGTGGAGGCCCATGCTGCAATTGCGAGGCTCGGGTTCGGGCTGTCCGTGCTCGGCGAAAGTGGGCTCTTAGTGTTGGTGATATAAGTCCTGCACTACCGCCAGGACCCTAAACTAATTATGAGAATTATGGCATATTCCTTCTTATGGGTAGTGCAGGATGTATATCATCAACCATGTCATGTGTTACTTCGGATCACTTGGGGTCCTCGTGGAATTCCATGGCTGGCCGCCGTCAACCCTAGACATAACAAAAATCTACAACCTATGACCCTAGACCGCAAAATCCTAAACTCAAATACTCTAAAAGCCTAAACCCTAAACCCTAAAACCCTGAACCGTCAATGAATTGTACCTGGATCGTATGCCCTACCCGAAGGCTCTGCAAGCCAGGGTGCCTGGTCTCCGTGGACGATGATCAAGTGATTGCCTTAGGAAGTATAGTAGAGAGGCCATCAATAGTTAGACCGGGGTGTTTAGAGTATGATATACTACAATGATGATTCACTGCAAGCTGACCTCCTTCATTCCACTGCAGGCTTGAATGCATCAGCGAGTTAGGAAGCATCCTCTCTCCAGCAATGAGGTGCAGAAGTTCAGGACTCAGCTAGGCGAGACTGGCACCTTTCCTTGCGGAAGCTTGGAGTTGCTAGGTTTTAGAATCAGAAACTAACCAAAAACAGGTTATGGAGGTTTAAAACAGAAGGCCCGGTCTGGCAGAGCCGGCGTAAAGCCGGGATTTCCTTTGCGCCTTGCGGCCCGGCAGCGTTTGGAGAAGTCCTTGATGGGGAGTGCCAGGCACTTCCACTGGAAGCTTCGGTCTCAGCTGGTACATGTCGGGCCATCAAAGAGCTCCAATATAGAACCTAAATTTGTGTTTATGGTAATATGGGAACGTGATTAAGAAATCTTGGATCTGTTTAACGGCTCCTCATATGAGTCCTAAAACGTGGAGATAGTCGGCCAGGGTGTCTTAACAGAATCCTACATTATACTACAACCTGAACCCTGTTCAAATTACCAAGGCCCCTCTATCAGAAGACCAACAGACCAGGAGAAGGCTTGACCCTTCACCACTCTTTGAGCCACGCTGCCATGAAGCCGACTGCGCAGATGCCGTGTGAGGAAGTACTCCTCGTCCTTGGCAGGGCAGCAGACCTTATACCCTAAGTCCTATACCCTAAACCAAATTATAAACCCTAAATCCTATACCCTAAACCCTATAAGCCCTAACCCTCAACCCCAAGCCCAGAATGGCAGAGACGGGGTTTAAGGCTGCTGCAATTAAGATGCTCAGGGCCAGGGATCGAGCAGAAGTCGGGGTAACTGACCATAGTAACACCTCATAACCAGCCTCCGTATATAAGCTCCTATATATAACTAGACTATAGTTACTATAGTAACCATAGTGCCATATACTGTAGTAACCATATAACATGTATACCCAAGTCAACCCTGGAGGCCCCTTCTGTAAAGATGCTTGAGGGCCAAAGCTGGGAAGATGGACAGCTCCCGTCCCGTTTGCGGACTCCCGGGGTCCCGGCACGCGCCCTGGGCACAGTGAGACCGCCCAGCGAAGCCCGGCGCAGTGGCAGCAGCGGCATTGCCGGTTCGCAAAGGTTGGGGCCTCATGGAGCCCTAAACCCGATAAATTCAAACCTAGACCCAGCAAAAATGCAGGAGTTGTTGCAGTCGTCCTACGTCATTCATTCGGAATGTTGGCGCGCAGTTTTGGTGCGTATGGATCGCTCTGCTGCTTCTGGGACCCTCTTGGAGTCTGACAAAGCCTCTTCCATCGCAGAACTAAGGCAAAGCATAGATGACACGCGTCACGCGTACTCGACGAAGAATCCACAGAAATCCCGTAAGATCCCGGATACTGAAGCGAAAACTGCGCTGGGACCTGCATCTGGCGAGATGGGCGAGCAAAGCGGCAGGAGATCGCCATCACTGGCACTCCTAGGACGTGGTTTCCCAAACCCTAAACCCTAAACCCCAACCCTAAACCCTAACACGATAAAGCAACCCTTGGGTGTTACATCCCAACAAAAAATTCGAATCTAGATGCAGGTCCCTTAAACCCGAAGCCCCAAACCGCCAGTTCCGCGTTAGCACGGTCTTTTAGAGAATTGGTTTGTGTTCCTTTACGGGTGTTAGGGTATGGGGCTTTTGTAGTGTCGCATGAAATGATTGTCCCAATCATGGGTTGAAATGAATGCTGAGACATCGCAGTTTTGTCTGCGAAGTGCAGTGGAGTTCGATGTCGTTCTCTGGTTAACGTCAGACTTGGACACGAGCTATTGCCTGAAGGACCAGATGACCCTGGAAAGTAAGGGCCCTATACCATTAGAGTATGAATCCGTATTTGGTTTATCGGTATATCCCTGATAGTATGACCCCCTTTATTGTGTGAACCCTTGGACCCTTTCAGGCTTCATTGCATCGTGTCTGACCAGGATCGAGGCTTTGTGGCTGAGTCTCCCCACCCAGTCATTCACTGCGATCTCTTCCGGCCACACGGCACGAGCCGCGAAGACGTGCAGTAGCGCACAGAAGCCTTGGTCCAGGCCGACAGCGCTTGAATCAACCCTTCCTTCAAGACGAAATGAACCCTAAAACAAAACATAAACGGGTTCATAAACGATGTAAGGATTCATGCTATGAGGGCGTAGGGCCCTTACTTTTCAGGGTCATCTGGTCCTTAAGGTCCTCATACAACGCATACAACAAGTAGGCAGCATGCACACAAAGCTTCCAGCTACCTCTTCGCACGACATGTCCGATGAGCTGGGGCAGCCAAACTGACAACAAGCAAGGGTCAACTTCATCTTGTGGCCACATGAAACGCCATTAATTATGCCCTTACTAACTATGGTCATACTATCCTCAGCCCTAAACCCTAAAGTATCAAGGCCTTACTTTGGCCATATTTTCCTAAACCCTAAACCCAAACTATTAAGCTCTTCTTATGGCCATATTCTCCTAAACCCCTTATAATGGCCATATTATCCAAAAAACCCTAAACCCTAAACCCTAAACTCCAAACCCTAAGCCCTAAACTCTAAAGCGCTGACTAAGGCCACAGCATGCTTGAAGCCATCGCTGGTGGAAGAAGCTCCCACATCATCCAAAACGCTAAACCTCTGTGGCCTTAAACCCCCTAAAGCCCTAGACCCTTTTTTCTAAAACCCTATGCTTATGGGGTTTTCGGGTTTAGGGGCCCTGACCCCTAAACCCATCCAAGAATTGCCCCCCAGGCATGATCCAAGATCAAAATTCTAAGGGTTTAGGGCTGCTGTTGAGGGTTCAGGAGTTATAGGGGTTTAAGGTTTAGGGTCAGTTTCAGGGCTCGAAGCCAGACGATGTGCTAGGTTACTTAAAACCCTAAATTTAAGTCAAGGCGCCGTCGTAGTCTCGGCGCTTGTAGAGCCTGGAAAAGACCAGGGAAGGAGCGACCCAGGGTACGTAGTTCTCTAAATTAGGGTCCCTTTTTGGGTTTAGGGTTTAGGATTTAGGGCTAAATTAGGGTCCCTTTTTGGGTTTAGGGTTTAGGGTTTAGGGCTAAATTAGGGTCCCTTGTTGGGTCCCCATATATAGTACGGCACCCTTCTAAAAAGGACCCTCAAAGGGACAACCTAATTTAGAGCACTACCCATCTTGTGCTGATCAGCATATTACCTAAGCGCTCTCGCCGCAAATTACCTCCCGAAACTAGGTTCAACAAGAATCCGGTTTCCGTCCCCACACGGTTTAGGGTTGAGGGTTTAGAACCAATACGCATCCAAGGCTCGGGTAGAGCTTGGGCAGAAGCGTGTCTTCGCGCTCGCAAGGGGCCAGGCACTCCAGATAATAGTTGGCGAGGGTGATCCTAGGTGGTTTAGGGTTTACCTGGACCCTAAAGAACCTACCTTTTTTTCTAGGGTTCTTTATCATGATTTCCTTATATAAGTCCCGAAAAGGGTAAGTTATTCAGGGTCCAGGTAGGGTTTAAGGCACAATAAACACCATGGTTCGGTCAACTTAGCTAGAGCTTCGGCTTCAGCTGCTTTCCAAGCTTTACCTGGAGCCTGAATAACCTGCCCTTTTATGGTTTTCCATAAGGAAATCATAAGGACACCCCCCCCCCCCAAACAAAAGAAAGTAGGTTTCTTCAGCGTCCAGGTAAACCCTAAACCCTCAACCCCGAATTCCGTGTTTTCCTCTAGTCTAAGCAGAGTAGACTCTGTTTTTGGAGAGCAACCAGGGCAGACGACGACATGTCAGGCTTGCGTCTCGCAACACTCGGACCAACCTCTCAGTCGCAGAATGGCCCCTACCCATAGGCCCCTAAGTAGTTCCTTTTTGGGATTGCCATATAGGATTCTACATATGAACCATAGAAAGGAACTACTTAGGGGCCCATGGGTAAACCCTAAACCCCCTAAGACCCTAACGCCTAAACCCTGAGCCCTAACCCCTTGAGCCTAGGCTTATAAGGCAGGGTCTTCAAAATTGAAATCCTTTTCGGCTTCGGGTCATCCAGCGCCTGTCCCGAATCTATTCCAGATACACCGCCTCACTGCAAAAGCCGAAACTTTGGACATGCCATGGGGCTGATGATGAGGACAAGGCTTGGCGACGATGATGGCGATGGTGGTTTAGATGCTAGCTGTTAGTAGACGACGACCATGACCATGACGACGACGGGGACGGTGACCGCGATGAGGATGAGGAAAACCACATGGCTGACTTTACAGCTACAGACTAGGCATGCATTTGTTTATGGCTCCTGGTTCAGCCAACTGTACAAGTATTACTATGTCCAGTCTTGGTTGCATTTCTAGGCGTGAACAGCTGAGCACTCTTTTGTCCAACTGCGCTATTGCGCCTGATAATATAGGGGCCTTCACAATTGGAATAGGGTTTGGGGGTATGTTTTACTATATTTACGAACCCCCAAAATAGTATAGACAATTATGAATAAGGCCCCTATATTAGACCACCTCAAACCCAAGGTCGTGATTCTCCAAGAGCTCTCTGATGCGCTCTCTGTGGGGCCCGGGCCCACCGCCTCAAGCAACAGCGGGAGTTGCACAAGACCTTCCGAAGTGCCATGACCCACGACGCCAGTAGCAAAAACAGCAGTTTGAACGGGATGGCGAGGAGGATAAAAATGGCTATACCAGCAACGACGAGGGCTGTCGCCTCCTTCTTACCCTGCATGGAGACAGCACGGCACCAGTCGCAAAACCACAAGACGCACCATGTAGTGAGGAAGACTCCGACAACTCTGTTGCAAATGACCTTGCATCCGGCCACCAGCCCGCCCAGGACAGCTCGGGGCCAGCCCACGTCAAAGAAGCCCAGCCCATCAGCCTCCAGCAGCAAAAACAAGATACCCTGGTTGAGGGTGGCCGATGCAGCTACCAGACTTTCACGATAACCACGAGCGGTTAGTTCGTAGGCACCAGGCCTTTCCAACAACAGATGGACAATCTGCACCTGGCCAGCCCAAGAGGCGGCTTGCAGGGCACAGTCCCTATCACCACCAGCCTCCAAGAGCAAGGAGACCACCTCCCTGTGGCCAGCCCTCGAAGCAGCAGCAAGAGCCACTTGGTCGGCGTCAAACGCATCCTGCGCTCCCGCCTCCAGCAACAAGCTTACCATCCCTGTGTGGCCTTCTTTGGCGGCAGCCTCGATAGGCGTGAGGTGCTCGTTGCGGGAGTGCGCGGCCGTGTTCGGATCGTGCTGCATTTGCAACATGTTCATCACCAGGAAATGGGAGTTCTCACGCACTGCTCTTAAGAAGTTGTTGGCACCCTGCTCGGAAGTGCTGAGAAAAGGAAGCACCACCAGCTGCGCATCCGTGATCGATGCCAGCTGGGCATCATCATCCAAGATCACGTTTCCATGCACGATTCGCTGCAGGAACCGTGAGACCCGAAGTAGCATGTGCAAACGCTGCTTCAGTTGCTGCACACGATCCGCATGTGAGATAGAAACGCAAGCTGCTTCCTCCCCAGAGGGCCACCAAACGTGCAGCATGTTGCAAGATTCTGTTGTGGCGCTCATCGCACCGCAAGTCAAAGCTAAGGAAAACAGAACAGGGCTGGTAGAACCATGCGAAGGAACCCAAAGGAATGACATTCTTCTATTGTATTCAGGCCACTACATTATTCTGCCCGCCTAGGTCTTGCACGCTAAGGAGATATGTGACTCTGAGATGCCATGACATGAACAGGGGACAGAGCACGGTGGCTGCATCGAGAAAAATTGCTCCGTTCGCAGCTAAGAGTCGAGAAAAACCTACCCTAAGCACCAGGCCCAGCCCCAAGTGCCATGCCAAACAGTCGAAAAAACCCTATAGACCCTCATCCAAACCCCTAGATCCCAAGAGCATGAACCAAAGCCCCGTGAACCCTAAACTCGTATAAAAATCCTGAATCCTAAACCCTAAACCGTCAACCCGAAACCCTAAACCCTGAACCTTAAACCCTAAACCCTGAATCCTCGATCCTTGGCCAGGCGGCGAATATCTGAGGCCACAGCGCCAGAGCCCCAAACGTCTCCGGAGGATGGGTCGGTGCCCCGCCCGGGAGAACCTGATACTAGAGGGTTTAGGGTTCAGGGTTCAGGGTTTAGGGTTCAGGGTTTAGGGCCCTTGACGTTTGGAATAGAGTCTTAGAGTCTTAGAGGGTTGAATATTCTATAATGTTAATGCTCAGAGGGGTCTACCGGCTTTGTCGGGTATTCCGAAAAAATCAACTTTTCACGACCCTGGAGACTTGTCTGAAGCATTATAGGACCGTAGCGCTGTAGAACCCTTGCAGAGCCTTGGAAACCGCCGCTTGTCAAACCCTAATGTAGGGGCCTTAATAATTGGAATAGGGTTTGGGGGTTATATTATGATATAATCATATAATCAGGAGCCATACTATAATCACAATAAGGAGCCCCAAAATATTATACGATGATCATCATAAGGAGCCGCAAAATAGTATGGGGAATCATCAAGGCCCCATTCTGAATCTGAAATGCCCAGGGGACAATCCAGGCTGCCAGGTCGATGCCGTCCAGTTCGCCATGTCAACTCCTGCGAGGATTTCTGGGGGTTTAGGGTTTTGGGGTTTAGGGTTTAGGGTTTAGGGGTTAAGGCTTTGGGTTTGGGGTTTTGGGGGTTAAGGCTTTGGTTTTGGGGTTTCGCGCCTAGCCTCTTTCGGCTTGACAGTCTAGGCTTCAGAGAAGGGCTACAGCTTTTGCAGGGTCTCCTAAAACCTAAACCCTACCTGTAACCGAAAAGACCTACCTTTTTAGGGTTCCTTATTATGGTTTCTATATACAGTTTCTGAAAAAGGTAGGTCTTTTCGGTTACAGGTAAACCCTAAGCCGTTGTCAAAGGTTTTCTAGGACGTCGTAGAGGCGCCTCACTCGGCTTGCTTGGCCTTGGAATCGTCTTTTTGTTTTGTCTAAACTTGTGCCTGGGGTTTAGTATACGGGCTTTAATGACTAGAATAGGCTTGAGTATAAAGGGCTAGTTCTCTAAATTAGGGGTCCCTTTTAGGGTCCTTTTTTCAATAAGGGTGCCGTACTGTGCTGGGTACCTAAAAGCGGAACCTAATTCAGAGAACTACCCATATGACCATCTAAGCCCTGAGGACCCTTCAGGAGATGCAGTTTCTAATGATTTAGGAATTCATGTCAATCGTGCTCCTGCATCTGTGGCAGATAGCAGGTCTTTTGCCAGGATTATAGGGTTTGGGATTATGTACGGCTCATGTCACAGAGTTTAGGGTTTCGGGGTTAGGCTTTATCTGTGACGCATGGGTCTGTCAGCCTCTGGAAGAGAAGAGCTGGTGCTTACGCGGCTTCCAGCGCCAAAGGCTGACGGTTAGTGGTTTGGGGTTTCGGGGTTTAGTAAGTTTAGGGTTTGGGGTTTCAGGGTTTATAGTGAACCCCAGAAAGTTGGAATCCGGATTAAGGACAAATAGTGCTGGGATTCCCTGTGCATGACTCTTAACTAAGGATTCACGCTATTGGGTTTCCAACAATAAAAACCCTAAAAGCCCTGAACCTTAAAAAACACCCTAAGCCCTAGTGTAGGGGATATATAGGGTCTGGGGATGGAAAAAAAGACTCCTGCAAACCCTCCGACAGCTCACGGTTTTGGGCCATGTGGATTCGAGTTCTTGGTGTAGGGTTATCCTTAGGGTTTAGGGTTTAGGGTTTTAGGGTGTTGGGTTTAGGGTTTAGGCTTTAGGGTGTAGGGTTATCACCCTACAAGGTCATAATCATGGTGACGCCCTGCTAGGCTTTAGGGCATTGGCCCAGGCCCTGACAGAGATCTGCAAATAAATGCTTTGCGGCTATGTAGATGTATCTGTTCTCACGTCTATTTTCAAGAGAGCATTGAGGATCGTCGGTGCTTGGGTGTGCTTTGGTTTGGTGTCGATTTGGCGTGCTGGTATTTCAGCCTGACTGGTGGCTCGACAGTGTGGTGTGCGAAGTACAGCTTACCCTCAACCTTGCAGCACCCTAAACCCTATATAGCAAGCCCCAAGAAGTTGGAAACCGGATTAAGGACAATTTGTGCTGGGAGTCCCTATACATTGCCATAAATCAAGGATTGAGGCTTCTCCTGCAAGCCATAGCCCTCATGCACAACGGAGTCTTGAATCTGATATCTGGAAACGCTGTGCCGATCACAAAAATGTGGCATAATCAGGGAACTCGACATCCTAAACCCCCAACCGGGGCTCCAAAACAGCACATGACCAAAGGTAGTTCGGATATCTTATATCTAAATTTAAACCCACCTTATCACACCGCCTAATAAGGCAGGGACATCCCTGTAAGTTGCTTGCGTTAAAGCTCTTAGTGCTCTCAGCCTTGGAAGCCAAAAGTGGTTGGAATTACGGGCTCTGCATGAGGGCGAACGTTACCGGTGGGTCGTCACATTTTGCTAACACCACCCCAAAAAGTCAAAGACCGTGAGACCTTCTACTCAGGTTGCAGAAGATCGTGCACAGCGCTGCTGTCACAGCCAGAGTCAGCACTACCCCAGGTCACGATGGAACCATCGCCGAGAACGGCAGCAAAAGCACTGTCAGAGGCTTGGATCTGCTGCACATTCTTCAGCTGACCCCGCACCGTACTACTGTCACCACCACAGGCGGAAAGACCCCAGGTCACGACGGATCCATCATCAAGAATGGCAGCGAAAGCACCGGAAGTGGCTTGGATCTGCTGCACATTCTTCAGATGATCCTGCACGGCACTACTGTCACCACCATGGCCAGAAAGACCCCAGGTCACGACCGATCCCTCGCCAAGAACGGCAGCAAAAGCGAAATGAGATGCTTGGATCTGCCGCGCGTTCTTCAGCTGATCCTGCACCGCACTACTCTCGCCACCACGGTCAGCACGACCCCAGGTCACGACGGATCCATCGCCAAGGATGGCAGCAAAAGCACCGGAAGAGGCTTGGATGTGCTGCACGTTCGTCAGCTGGTCAGCAGCGCTAATGTCATGACCAATAAGAGCATTACCCCAGGTCACGACCGATCCATCACCAAGAATGGCAGCAAAACCACCGCTGAAAGGGCTTTCAACGGCCTTGATCTGCTTCACATTCGACAGCCGTTCCTTCACAGCGCTACTGATACAACCTCGTCCCCAGGTCACGACAGATCCATCATCCAGAATGGCAGCGAAAGCACCGGAAGAGGCTTGGATCTGCTGCACGTTCTTCAGATGATCCTGCACGGCACTACTGTCACCACCATGGCCAGAAAGACCCCAGGTCACGATCGATCCCTCGCCAAGAACGGCAGCAAAAGCGAAATGAGATGCTTGGATCTGCTGCACGTTCTTCAGCTGATCCTGCACCGCACTACTGTCACCACCATGGGTAGCACGACCCCAGGTCACGACGCATCCATCGCCAAGAACGGCAGCAAAAGCGAAATGAGATGCTTGGATCTGCTGCACATTCTTCAGCTGACCCCGCACCGTACTACTGTCACCACCATAGGCGGAAAGACCCCAGGTCACGACGGATCCATCATCAAGAATGGCAGCGAAAGCACCGGAAGTGGCTTGGATCTGCTGCACGTTCTTCAGCTGATCCTGCACGGCACCACTGTCACCACCAAGGTTAGCACGACCCCAGGTCACGACGGATCCATCACCAAGAATGGCAGCAAAACCTTCGGAGTTTGCTTGAACTTGGACTCGGTTTATATGCAAGGCTAGTAAATCACCATTCTGCAGCCGGGCACGCTTGATCGGTGTCCATGCATCCAGAATGCTTCCGGATGAGCCTACGAGCCGCCCCCTTCCGACTCCGAGCGCGATCTGTGCCCGACGCTTCAGTGTTCCCACTTCTTCATTCAAGTCGGCGTCCACTGTGACTCTCCTGCCGCTGAGCAGCCCAACTTCCACCCTAATCGACATCTTTCCGCACAGGTTTTCTACGTCCGACAGAATGTTAAGTATACATCGAGCGCAGTGATTGGGGCTAAAGGCTTGGCATTATCGGGTTCGGGGTCTAGTGTGTGCGGCTTAGAGCTGAAAAATGGCTTTCAAGACCCATGGCTAACTGTGGTTGCTGTAGCCCCTAAACCCTAAACCCTAAACCCTAAACCCTGTAGCGGCTATTCTTGAATCCTGAGGGATTCTCACCCTGATCTAGTTATTCAGCCGCATTTACTACCGGAAGACGCTCGCGAACGCGTGGCAGAAAACTACCTTGCATCGCATGGGCAAGTTTTCATTCTGAACCCGATACCTTAAAACTCTGAACCCTACAAAACAAACCCTGAAGCCTACAAAGCCATAAAACCCCGAAACTGAAACCCTAAACCAAACCCCTCAATCCTACAGAATAGTAGGGTATGGCCCCTTAACCCTTGAAACGGTAGGTTATTGCATCCCCCGGTAAACCCGTTACCCTAAACCACTGAAGCCCCTAAACCCTAAACTTCTAAACC